TTCCATAAAAATTTATTATATAAAACAATTTTAATTTTCCAATAAAGGCGTTATGATAATGCGCTCACAGTAAAAATATATATCATGAGTCAAGTTGACCGGGAAATGTCCTACTCTTTAATGCTTTCAACAGCCAACTTTTAAGAAACTAATTTTAAATATTAAGTTTTATAGGTGTTAAGTTTAATCTTCATTTAGGGTCAGAATCCAACCTTTATGTAGTATGCTATGTTTCAACAGATTAAATGCAAAAATAGACAAAAATGATGACTTAAAGAAGTTTTGGGCTAAGGTTACTGAGGTTATCCGCGTTGTTATAGTATCCTGCCGAACTACACAGTGTCATTTAATCACATATACGAGCAATTTCACCGAAGAAACAGATCTGCCCTATGCTCTTACCACGAGTAGTGTCTTTACCTAATGCATTGTAGATAAATACATTGTAAATACACCAAGAAAATAATAATAGTAATAATACTGCGGTTATCCATAAATAATGCAAAAATTTTAGATTTCATTCTAAAACTTGAATTTTTAACATGGATTCAGTACACAAAAAAATACAAATTTTCTTCAAAGAATTTTTTTCTTAGTGCGTTCTATCGCGCTTTATGTTTATCTCATACTGTCCCACGTGACGTTTTTGTGGATCTAAAGCTAACATCACAACATCAAGGAAACGATTTCAAGTCCATTGCCTCTATAAAAGAAAGTTCACTGAAGGAATGAATCTACAAAAATTGTGTAAAATATTGAGTAAGGGCATCCTGGAAGATAATTTGGTTGTTTTACCCAAATCATTCATTCGAAATTCGGAATGTCTTCTGTTCTGTTAGGGTCTATTGCAGCACAAAAACTCAACTATAGTCGTGGTGCTAGGGTCCGTTAGGAGATGGTATCCTATTTATTTCAATTCTATACTACTATAGTAATATAGTAATGATCTCTTCCTTTGAATAGTTAAAATAATGTGGCGGGGACGTGAATAAAATATACTTTAAGAAGATGTTATTAAATTATTAAATTTTATTAAATTATAAATCACTGCTTTTAAGATATTTCTAATTAATTAACAGAATCCCACAACATTGAAGTGGATTGTGGGTTTTTTTCATCTGTTCTATTATGCTTTTAAAAAGTATCTTTTGATCATTTCGAGGTAATTACTCCTATTTTACTTTTAATAAGTGCAAAAAGAACAACTACTTACTATTGTGTTTCTGAAATGTTTTATAGAAAAATTTCATTGCTATATTTGTATAATAAAAACTTAATCAGAAATTGGAATTATTCAGTTCTTTTATTATTTATTGTGTTGTTAATTTTATAAAACTGGATTTAAGACATAATGACCTGAATGATTTTCTTGGGTAAATTTCCATCTCTCTGACTTTTGGTTCGATGAGTCTCCTGCTGAATTAAAGTTAGTTAGAAAACACCCTTTATAAGCACGTATTTCTAGCATACTATGTATATAATGCGTTATGGCACATAAGCAAGCAAGATAAGTGTAAAGCCCACTCGACCTGACTGTAGGGACTCGAATTGTTTACGAACTCAACAATACAAAGGCGTAATCACTTGATTTATTTAAAAAGATTTTAATGGAATTCGTAATATAAATTTTAATATTTTCCAATCAGTGATTGTCTGTTAGGTACGGAGTCGAAACATCTAATTAAAGTGAGTTTTATATGTGAATATGTGAATATATTGGTTGGGTAACAATATGGTATGTATGGGGTAGTTATATATATAATGGCTATATGTGATATCTGCGCTTAGCATTTGAAAACAACATAGAAACTAAGTTTTAAAAACTACAAATCATTCAAAACCATAATTCTTTCGTTTTATTTTCTCATTTTACGGTGGATAAACTTTTCCAAAGTTTATTTTATTTTTATTTTTTTAATTTTTTTTTTGCGTTTTTGTCCCTTTTTTGTTGTATAACTTTTTTGTTATGCAACGAAAAATGTTACCACACATAAATCATCACACATGAATAAAATTGCTTTGCTTTTTGGTATCCCATTACAATTTTATCTATTTTAAGCAATAAATCCCTGCAGGAAGTGTAAGGCAGGAGCAGTAGCAAACGGAATGAAGCGGAAGAAAAGTTCTCTCGACTTCGTATGGAGATGAGCGAAATGGTGAAAGTACAAAAACCCACAAATGCTTAAAATTTATGTCCACCAATTATTATTTTGAAACAACCAATTAAAGTGATTTACTCAAAAGGGTGTAACGGTTCAGTGGAAAGGCAAATAGTCTGAAGTGGGTGCTGTCTTCTGGCATTAGAAATTAGAAGGGTTACTTCAATTTCGTATCAAAAATCTTACGGTTTTTAGCCTTAACACTCTTCACAGTGTTGGACAAAGCATAAATTTGTAGCATTTTTTATGGAGCGAATGCACCTTTTCGGGCTTGTAATACTACTAATCTACAAGCCATTCTGCTCAAGTTCAATACAAAGTGTTAACATGCAGTTTGCCATGTACAAAATACACACAACTTCCAATCTCATACAACTAAGAGGACTAAGAAGGACTTTTTATCATGTGAAAGTTTGCCTTTATCAGCATAAAGTATATGAAAAGTTTCGTAGACTATTTGCTTAGATTAAGACTTGTCGACATAGGACTACATACTGTGAGATTTTTAGAAATTTAGAACGTTTTTGTTGCGCTTTGTCGATATTGGCAAAGTGTTTCATGTGTTTTGCTGAAATACTTTCTCCGTTAACTTAAATTAAAATCTAGAATTTTTTTTTTATCCACAGCTTCATAACATCTTTAAAATAGCTTCTGCTAGAACACATAAAAAAGTTAATGCTCTTTACTGAACTTCCCTCGCCTGTGTCGCCTGCTTCCAGTAAATTGCGTTAGGTTTCATTTTCCTTAAGTTTCAATTGACCACAAAATACCACATAAACAGAACACTTTGTTTTCAATATTTTTAATGGATTAAGTCCTGCTTATTGGATTTGGTTCAAGTTTTTCCGAAGAATTTCATGTTGTTTTTTATTGCGAAGTGAATGAGGCTACTCCATTACATACGCCACTGGTGTCATGCTCAAGTAGTGAAATGGGAAAACATGTCATGGTCGTCATGTTTTCGACATTTGTCAAAAGAAAATTACTCAATCGCTTAAGCCGAAATGAAAGAAAGTAAAAAACTTTTCCCAGTTTCTCGCAAGACGAATTAAGAAAGTTTTATCATTGACACTTTTTAATGAAAGTAAAAGTTTGTGGCTTAGACTTTGCAAAAATAATTTTTCTCTAAGTAATTCACAAAAATTGTGATGAGGGATCTGTACCAGGCCCTGCTACATTTAAATTGAGGATACCAAATAAAATTGCTGGTAAAAACTTAAAATGGTAACTTACTAAATGTTGCTTTACAGCAACAGTACTAACAATCTGGATATAGAGAGTTCCACAAAAAACTGGTGTTTTTAGATTTGATGTGTCTTTAAAACACTTGATATGTCTTTTTGAAGTTTTGAACTTAAAATGTCCGTATATTTCATCTAAACGACTAGAGCAAAACAATAATAGGACAACGCAATAGCAAAAATGTTTAATTTTTCGGCTTTGGAAAACATAAGATACAACATATTAAAAATAAATTAATTGAATAAATCTATTAAAATTAAATTATATTAATTAATATATTAAAATTAAAATATTTTAATATGTTGTCTTACTGTGACACGGTGAGCAAAAATTAAAGAAATATTTTCTCTTTTTGAATTGTTAACGGTCTTAGATTAATTAAAGTCCATTAAGCTTAAACTTGCAACCCGTTTTCTCATGGACATCTGCGTTTTTAGCAATAATAGATTATAGTTCAAAAATTATAGTTTTAAAGGGCTGACAAAAAACGTTTATATTTAGAGCTATAATTTTCGTGCTTCCAGTAAACTTGGAACGAATAACCAGATAAAAGTTTTTGACTTAAACATCCTTCCCCATATACCTTTTCTACTTTCTCAAATGCAGATTTTTCTTAAAATCAAGTTATGGAAAAAAACCATTTTAAAAACTATTTAAATTTAAAAATATCCACTTTTTGATGAAAAAACAATCTATTTGGGAATATGTATAGATATTCCTATTCACTCGTAGAAAGTTTGCTGTACACACGAAGTTCCTTCCTTTTAAATAAAAAATTTTTCCTAACCATTTAAAACCACAATTTTTGAATTTTAATGCGTTATTATCCAGACACCCAGATGCTTAGAAAACAACGGTTTAAGACTTAAGTTCAGCAGCCCCAAATTAAGTTACTAAGAATAAAAAATCAAAAAAATTTAAAAAAAATGAATTGCGTGTCGCTCAATGTTATCCAAAAATGTCTACAACCTGCATTAGAGATTCAAAATCCAAACTTTTTTGAATATGTGTACACATCCCAATCCCGTATAAAAATACAATTCAAATTTAATTTGCTTTTGCGCCTTTTAAGGTTTGCCAATAGTTCAAGTTAGTTTTTAAAACTCTGACTTTCTTATACGGTAACACATTGGGACAACAGACCTAACATAAGTGGATCCGATATAACCTAACCTAACCGTTTGTAGTTTATATCGTGAATTAGTAAAAATAATTTATCTCATCTAATGAATTCAATTGGGTGGGAAGTAAAACATTTTTGTTATATATAAGTTGAATTTACCAAAATGGTTGTCGAGTACCATTTAAACACATTTGAGTCATTTTACTCGGTAGTCTTAAATAAACTTTACTCTATTGATTTTTTGCGTCACCACCACAAAATACCAAGTCAAAAGTACCCAGATTTTTTTTCTCCTATGAAATATTCTGAAACAGGTATGTTATTTGCATGCTATTAACAAGAGTTGGTAGTTTAGCAGAAGTAACTTTAAGACAGCAAAGACAATCTGTGTTAACCATGAAATCTACAAAAAGTAAAACTTCAGTTTTGCAGTGCAAACTTTTATTTTTCGCTGCATTCAACAAATTTCGTGAAAAATGGCAGTAAACTAAAGTGTGGCAATCTTCATGTTTCTGCTCAGATGCAGAGATACGTTCATGCAGCTCGGTAAACACATAATTTCCATGGCACTAATTCTTCCTGCACACCAGCCAGCATACATCTGCAGCCCTGACGCTGAGAGCTCTCTTACACGTGTACTATATGCACCAGCTCGTTGCTGCACACATCAGCCAGCAAATTAACGAAAACTTTAGACCTTTTGAAGTTCTTGTATTATCAGGGGAAATCAATTTAATATTGCACACGCCTGAAGGAACTTTTTATACACACAGTGAACTTTGTGTAAATTTGATGTATGCTTTAGGGGTTTGTGTCCTTGCAGTTGTAGAGGTAGTTAATGTTGGTGCATTTGTTGAGCTGACACTGCACATTTGGTTACAGTTTTCTTGAGGCAATAAATTTTACCAAGTTTTGTCTTTAAATTTGCACTGCTTAATATTTGTAAGAAATTGAATTTTAAACCGAAAAACCATAGTAATTGAAAATAATTTCTCTTCTTTGTCTAGACTTGTTATGAACTGGAACGTTATCTCCGCGATGAGCCGAAACTACAGTCTTATAAAAAAATGCGTACTGAACTCGACCCAGCTTGGGAAATGTTTCCATCACCTGCGCTTATTTTTGAGGAACTGAAAATCAAAGAGCAAAACCTCGACACAATATCAACTACAAGTTCAGTTTCTTCTAACTGCTCTGGCATATCTTGGGACAGTACAGCTTCTCAATCACTCAGTTGCTCTGTAGTATTGAAACAGGAACGTATTGATGATGACGACGATGGCATTAACTCGGACAGTTGCGAAGAAAAATTCACCACATTGACGCCGCTCTCAACTCCAGCGTCCACTGTATATTCAACAACATCAGCATTAAGCAACACAAACTCAACTACAACTGCAGCACAACAATGTCCAATTTCGGAAAAAGCCATAAAACTGTGCGTAGTCGCAACCAAAGCAAACAATTGCAACCTTAGTAACAATAACAACAACAACAACAATGTTAACATAAGCATAAGCAGCAACAATCAGCATGATTATGTGTTGCCTACTTTGACACCGCCATCATCGCCCGAATCGATACGTACAAACATTTCCAACAACAACTGCAATAGTTTGCAGCAACAAATCAACGCTAGTAAGCTAAGTGCAAACGACTTGGCTGCGCTTATACAGCAGCAGCAGCAACAACAACAACAGAAGCGTTTAAGTCAAACACATCCGCCAGCCACAACCGCCATATTGCGTTTCTCCAGCTCAGCTGCAACGGCTGGCTCCACAACAATTGTTAGCAGCAATAACAGCAACGGCAGTAACAATAACAAGAATTCCACAATATCAACAGTTCCTTTAATTCAACAACAGCAGCAACAGCAGCCACAACATGTTGCCGTACAGCAGATTGGCATACAAACTACAAGCGCCGCCACCAACACTGACCCAACTCAGATGCAGCCACAACAACACACAAACATTCCGCGCAACACCATTGTCCGTCTTACGGCAGGCGGCAAGCAAACTGGCGGCATAAGTTTGGCGCGCGTCATACAAATGCAGAACAACGGAGGTGGAAACGTAACCACAGCTGTGCTTAATGGTTCCGTTGCTACTCAACAAAAACAACAGCAACAGCAGCAGCAACAGCAACAACAACAGCAACAACAACAGCAACAACAACAGCAACATGTCATCAATAGCATAACAGCAACACAAATTGCTCAGCGTGGCACGCAACTTCAAAATCCGCAAGTTACTACACGTAAGTATACAAATATATTTCCAAGTATTTCGAGTTTATGTGAGGTAAAACCTTTGACAATATGAGATATAATGTTACTCCCATGAAGGTATACGCGTATTATATTAGCGAGTTTAATAGCCTAAAATTATGCTACAAAATTAATAGGCATATTGTACTACGTATGTATGTATTATAAAAAACTGTTGACAAAATATTCTACGCAACCTACGTGTCCTAGTTAAACTTCTTTACTGAATGTTGCATTTAAAACACAAAAATAGGTTATTCAAAAACTATAGACTTCAACCGTGCCTGAAAACGGGTTACAGTTTCCATAATTTTCTCATTTACTCAATGTTAAGTTTATTGCTGTTGCGAATGTTCCTTTAAAGACTGATTCGTCACTAGTTTATTAAAACTGTCTTGTACTATGAAAAATCCTATAAGAATCTCTCAGATAGACTCTTAGATATCATCTTTATTAAAGCGAGGTACATATACTCTTATCATTGAGGTCTTAACAACCTCAATGTGGTACACAACAGCAATTACCAAGAACATTGACCGAGACCACGACTCTCTCAAATTAGTTCACTTATGGTTAATAAATTATGTAGTTGAATGCATTGTAGTAGTATAGATACCATATAGACTCCATAGTAGTATAGAGTATATAACTCAAACAGTTATGGGTCTGCACAGCTGTTTGAGTTGACAGCAACTGAATGACATACTACTAACTCCGTTCTTATACCTGACAAAGCTCATTGCCGTTATATCGCAAAAGCACAGCACTATTCTGTGCTCACTATCTTTTATATATATGCATATATATGAGTTCTGTCAGAAAGAAGAACGTAGTAAGCATATTCAGTTGCACTGAACTCAAGCAGCCGAGTAGTCTCGTAACACTTCAGTCCACTCTCGAATGCATTTAACTACATAACTTATTAACCATAAGTCGACTAATTTAAGAGAGTCGTGGTCCCAGTCAATATTATTGAAGTTATTAAGACTATGTATAAACATATATGTACATATATATATATATATACATATATATATATATATATATATAATATAATATATATATATATATATATATATATATAATATATATATTATAATATATATATATATATATATATAATATATATATATATATATATACAGATGCTGCCTATTTATATATCACATTGAAGTTGATAAGAATTTTATATAAATATATTTCTTCGATATATATATATGTATATATGCATATAATTTCAAATATTAGTGAATAGCAACAACAAAATGTTATTATTTTCAAAAGATTTTTCATTTTTGGCTGACCATAAAGCTATTTCCAGTAGTGCAAATACCTGTTATCAGTAGTCCTGGAATTATTTTTTATATTTTATTACATGAAGATATATTTTTTGAGACTGCAAGTACCAAGGATTGAACTCATACCATGTCATAGCTCAGAGTCAGTGTTCATTAGTCAACTAACCCAAAGCCATTTCTACCCGTTCAAATTGTTTACATGTCAAAATATTGTATTATTCCATAGAAGTTATTTTTAAAGCCATGACTGAGAGGTTAACATTTTATATATATTTAATATAAAATGGATTAATTATTCTCAAAATGTGTGTATAATATGTATATTTCTGAATTTCAGTAACCACCAAAAATCACCCGCGTCAACATGAACACAGCCCGGATACGAAACGTCGGATACACAAGTGCCAATTTTTGGGCTGTAAGAAAGGATATACGAAAAGTTCCCACTTGAAAGCTCATCAGAGAACGCACACTGGTAAGTCTACTTCACTATTCTTCTTATATTAATTTTTTTTGTGGAAAAATTAACATGTTAAGAGAGTTTTTGTTTTTATGGAAGTCTGTTTTTAATTGGGTCAGAGTCAAGCACCTACTTTATAATCGAATTCACTTTGACGCAATGTAGCACTTCACACTGAGGTAAATACGAAAATCTGTAAATGTCAACTATCACTTTGGATCAAAAGGCCAATTGATTTCATTTATAAAATTTCCAGACAAGTATTAACATGAATGCAATTCAATATCTTACGGGCTTGCCAGCTTAATGAAATTTTTTATTTTAGACTTTTTTTACAACATAAAATTAATTAATATAATGAAATTTAATATGCAGACATTAAAATTAATTTTATAAATAAGCGTCAAAGGTGTTGCAATTAATTTACTCTCATAAAGCATTTTTATACCGATAAATAAAAAGTTTTTAATATAAAAAGTGTATATAATATAAAATTCCTCAGGGTAACCCTATTACAATTTGCAATATTCAATTTTCTGACAACTGAAGTGTTTAAGTGTTTAAGGATTTTATTCTGTTGTATTCTGAGCAGATTTTGACAAGTATAAAAAGTGAAAAAACACTGGAGAGGTACAAATTTCAATAAATTTCAGAAATGAAATATTACCAGGAAAACAGATGAAAAATGACAGCAACACACACGGTCCATCACACAAGCTCATGCCTGTATGTACGCACTCACACTTAAACGAGACACAGACACACACACACACACTGATAGATTGACACGCGGACAGACAGAAATTGCAACACTTAACCGATGCTGTCAACGTTGTTGTCGAAAACAAGAGATTTATTTTACAAATTAAACACACACTTATACACACTGACTGCACTACGCTGTGCTGGCAGAATGCTCTGAACCCTGAAATATTTATATCGGATTTTATATTGAAGCCCCCTTTAAGCACACTTAACCTATAAATAAATCAAAATTTAAAGCTTATCTTCTGTATACTACATTTGACTCCGGCCGCACAAACCCAAACACCCAAACACCCAAGCATCCAAACATCGAAGCATCCGAGCACTCAAACAAAACACAACCTGTCCCAACCCAAACCACTGAATCCCATCCAACACCGTGCAATCCAATCCAACTCAATCCGACCCATCCCTGCCCCATCCCATTTGTGCAAAACATCAAATGCTAGTATTTATACATTTATGAAATATGATATTTTACACAAATACAAAAATCAGTCATTTCGTCAAAAATTTGAAACATTTATCTCTGCACCATATTGCACGTCGATTTATGTGTAAGCACTTATGTGTAAGCGTCCATGGAGTGTGTGCATGTGTACGCTATCTCTTAGAACTACTGGGAGTTAGGAATAACCTTTTTGGGTTTCTACCAAACAGACAGTATCGGAGTACAGTGGCGGAGTACCATACACACCCACACTAGGTTATATTGTGCGACATAACAAATGAACTTCAGTGTATATTTTGATTCCATGTTCCTGCTGCTGTTGCTCCAGATAAAGGTAAAACACAATATATGCAGGATACATGGGATACATAGGATACGTAGGATGGAGTGCAGAAATCATAAATATTCATATTTCATATTACGCATTTCATTCGTTTCTCTATGGATGAGTTTAATGTCAAATCCTTTCCTAATACATTAATCACAAACGAAAGTTTAATTTTTATTGAAGCATTGAAGAATTTGTCGTTTGAATGCCATGCCAAATTCTTATCCTTTGCATAAAGGATTTATTTCAGAACTGAAGTAAATAACAAAATTATAATTTCATTGAAAGTGACTTGAAGGACTTAAGCAAAATGTTTAGTGTTCACTTAAATGTGTGCACCAAAGCAAGAGAATTACTTTTAATTTGCTGAAGTTAATCAAAAGTCAAAAGCTGACAGATATGCATACACTTCATTTATTATAGGACTCTTATTTTATTGTTCAGTTTTCTAAAATTCATTTGAGAGTATACGTTATCATATAAAAACACTTTTAATTTTTTTTTTCTATAAATAATGACATTGGCTTTATTGTTTTGATAAAGAGTACAGACAATTTGCAATTTATAATAATAAAAACAGGGTGTTAGGATGTCAGTATGTTAGATCTTCAATATCATTCCAGGTGTTCGAAGCTTCTAGTATTTTAATATTTAAAAATGTTTGCCCGAATATCTATAAGTTGCTGAAGTAGTTCCGAACATTTGAAGTACTCGTTATAGAGAAGAACTAAAGTCACTGGCTTTGATTTACTGTAGAATAAATATATTATTATTAATATGCGATCCTCATTTAGAAAGTTTTAAAAAGAAAATAAAAGGTCCATACAGAGCATTTTGTAGGGCCATTTTTAATATTCAAAAGTTACAGTAAGTATACATTTTCGATATTACTAGATGAATATGGTACTTGTCTGCTGAATAATATATTTCAAATCCTATGAAGTACTGGACTTAATTTAATTACGGTTTTATTTCAATTTAGGAGTTTTTCCTATTTCTATGAACTTTTAAGACACACAAACTCTGTATAATACTTATTTATTAACATGAAGAATACCTATTTAACAATATTTTACACTTCGGACTCATCTAATCTGCGTAGTAATAAAATTAATAAAAGCTTTATCTCCAATAAAATAAATTTCACCCTCTCTTTCTCTCTCTCCCCACTCTTTCTCTCTCTCCACCTCGCAGTTTCTATCACTTTCTGTCTTTGTCTCTGTCTGTGCCTCGCTCTCTTTCCCTTTTCGATGAAAAGCTACAATAAAAGCATTACAAAATGACTGTCAGCTTATAAAAAGTATAAAATTTTGTGATCCATTCTGTCAGAAAATTAAACTAGTGGAACAAATTAAATTATAATAGAAATAGAATAGAAATAGATAATATGTATCTTAACAGAAATTAAGATACATAATATTTCTAAAGAGAATTAGGAATTATAATCATCTTTAACTTAGTATTTAGTAGCCAGAAAAGCAGCAGCCACTCCGTTGGTGGGGTCAGAACTTTTCTGTGGTTTAGGACACAGTAGCCTCTACAGTACCACCCTTTTCCCTTGGAAAAAGAAGGAGAATCAAGTAAAAAGGATTACTGAGATGATCTACCAGGATCATCTACAACTAAAATCACTTATTAGTATCTATAATAATAGGAGATACCAGGATTGAATGAATTTATCAATAGAAAGACTTAAAATCATCACAGAAATCTTGACAGGACACTGTAAACTGAAATACCACCTTATGAAACTGAGTATATATACGGATGTGCTGTTAGAATGCCCTGCATTAATGCACATACGAAATAGATTCCTGTGAATGTACACCCTTACGGAAGAGGCAACTAAACTCTGTAAAGTAGGTTCTATACTACTATATATACGAAGCAACAGGACTTGTAGATATACTCTAAGCACAAAAGGAGGCACAATAGACTCGACGCTCGCGCAGTGTCATATCCCATATTTTTAAACCACTAATTTTTTTTCGATATTTTTTCCGGTCTATTTAGAACTATATAAATCGGTTCAGTCACAGCTTTCGCTTTTGCAAAAATGTTGATTTTTTTTAGTTTTCGTTCAGTTTCGGTCCAATTCCGGTACTCAGAACTATTACTTAATTAATATACTTGTAAATAAAAAATAAAATTTAATTGAAAAATAACGAAATTTGTTGAATTTTGATGAAAAAAAATTGAATATTCCTTTTTTATTATTTGTGCTTGAAAATGTTTGTAAACAATATTTGAGGATTAAATAATTATACAAAAAATATTAAAATTTTCAGTGAAGTATAAAAATAAACATAAATTAGTGCATTGATGTCCAAGTCGATGCATTCTACTCGTAATAGAATCTACAAGGTAGACAAGGTTAACAATATTTACCTACAGTATTTCCCTTTAAGCTCTTATATAAAAACAAGAATTTTAAAATTTTAACGACTTTTAACGATTTTTATTAAAACCAGTTTAGCAAATCAAAGGCAAAGTAATATACACCCCGGAGTACAAATTTATCTGTAGTAAGTATCTGCAGCTATCATGTGCGCGCGAATCTACGACAAAAGCGTGGAATTTATCTCAGTTCAATGAATGAAATGTAATATGAGTATATGAGTACTCATTGAGGAATTTCGATTTTAATTCAATTCAATGAATGAATTCACGGCTTCGACTTTTCCAACAGAAAGCAAAGTGTGTACAACGTACGAGTTCAATACTTATAAACGCTTAATTGGTGGCAGTACACATGTAAGCAAAGTGCTTGACTATGAGATATAGTAGATATTGTTAGTAGGTTTTTCATGTGTAAAATATATGCTCAATTGTTTATTATTTATTTTATTATTTAATTTTTCTTTTAATTTTGATATGACTCATTGCAGTGCCGCTCAGCGATTGATACGCGACCCAGGCACTTGCCTTTATGTTCTCATTTGTTATTTACAGATAATACAAAAATGTTTAAAGCAATTATGAAGTCATAGCGTCTCAGGCAAAAGTATCTGAAATTTAATTAACAACGAGACACAATCATATGAAACTCATAAAAATAGTTCCGAACTGAGATAATAATTTTTAATCAAAAATTTTTTCATATATACACTCGTATAGTATATACATACATATATACCATATTATGTGATTAATTATTGTATGCAGTGTGGGTTTTTGAGATATGGAATTTTGTATTGAAGGCACGAAAAATACAAAAATACTTTGAAAAAATAATTCTTGACAGAATTTTAATTTATTAAATTAATTATAAATATTTTTTTCTTATATAAAGTTTGGATCATAAAACAAAATAATAAAATATGATTGCATTCACTGCGAATATATATCTATCTTATTGAACTTCAATTAATTGCAGAAAATACAGCTTTTTTTTTATTGCAATTATTAAATATTTAATTCATATTATTTAATTTCATTCAATGCAAATGTCTTGTAGTCTTTTAAAGATTT